AGCCCCGGTTTTAAGCACAATTTATTTAGCAAAAATGGACAAGGGAATAGATTTAAACCTTAAAGGGCTTGCACTCAAAGTGTTTCGGTTTGTAGACGACTTTTTGGTTTTTATTGAATCGGATGGTCGGGATAAAAAGGTCGCAGAAGTTTTGAAAGTCTTCAAGAAAAATAGTAGAGGGCTTGAATTTACTCATGAATTACCAGTCAATCACAAACTGCAGTTTTTAGATATTGAGTTAGATGCCACAGCAGGACATGTATGCTGGTCATACAATCCGCGAACGGAAAAACCCTTACTGAGCTACCGATCGGCACATTCTAAAGTTGTAAAGAGTGGCATAGCCTTTTCATGTTTGAGAGCAGCCTTAACAAAGTCATGTCCAGAAAAGATTAGCGAAAGCTTCAACCAACAAATTATCAGGCTAAAAAATGCTGGGTACGAAAAACACGTGTTGTGTAGATCGGCTAACAAGCTGATTAGTCACGTACGCAACAACTTTCATAAAAAAGTGACAAGTAATGAAAACAGGAAGAACATAGTGTCAGTTCCATATGCGCACAAGATTGCCCATAACTTAAAAACGTAGGTAATCGCTATGGCCTAGAACTAGTTTTTTCGGCACCCAACAAGCTTAGTAAAATATGTTCCAAACTAGACCGTAAAGTTTCCATAGCAGTAAACACTAATGCTGGTAGTTGTACGGTAAATCACACAACAAAGTTTGTTAAGTGTAGCCTATCAGTCGTGTATTGCTTGCCGCTAACGTGTGGAAAGGTATACATCGGCCAGACGGGTCGATGTTTGAACACCCGACTTTTAGAACACAAGCGATCTTTAAGAACTGACATTCATTCTCACATAAAGAGACACTGTTCCCAGTGTGGCTGCTCACCACTGTTCAGTGACACGACCGTAGTCTTCCGTCATGGAAACCAACTAACCAGAGAAATTGTCAAAGCCTTCCACATTAAAAAAAGAAAAGAAGGATGCATTAGTCAGTCATCGGTTTCGTTAAGTGACCGAGAAGCCAGCTACCTCGAAGGACTTAATTGAGATCAGTGTTTGCATGTGTCATACTCTCCTTTTTGTCGTTTCAAAATGTTGTTTCAAACACGTGTGAATTCCCGCAAATTTTTTTTTTGTTTTTTTTATTTGATGTTACCCAGGGCTGTTTTTAGTTATGTCATCTTAAAGTGTAAGCGTAACTGCCGTGTACTATCGCTTGAGTCTGCGCAAAAGCTTCTGTTGGCAATGATTCAATGTTTGTAGTGAAAATTGCGCTACTACACCATATGGTTAAATGATGTCTCACCAACTAGCCCAGCTCTCAACCCTACTGAACGCACGCTATTGTTCAGATTTTAACTTGCCGTGTAAGTGTGGTGCCCGTATGGTACATAAACGTGGCGGCGCTTCAACGCCCACTTTGAAGTGATTTTGCCATAGTTGTTGAAAGATTCGCTTCATTCGGAGCAAGCGACTGTTTGGACGACTGCACTTGCTTTCATTTACCTTTGGTAACCGAACATTACGGATAAGTTAGCGTATTTTTTTCAGATATCTTTCCGCTTCGAACGTCTCTAAGTCCAACTAGAACATAGATGTGAACAAATTGGCAACATAAATGCCTTCACGTGCTCTGCGTGCTTCGTATTTATTTACTTTTATTATTACTAAAAACAACTTGCAGCATTGCTTCGAGTGGTTACACAGGCAAGCATTCTCGTTTTCTTTTCTTTTTTAGTGTTCTTTAACTTATCGACCCTCCAATATACGGCATCACAATCGCCGTTGGGGCACGTAAACCACGTAAACGCTATCTTGCTAAACTGTAAGACGCTGTCCGCAATGAACGTCTGCTGCACGTTAACGCAAGTTTCTTAACCCCACCTTTTACGCTAACGGTAAACCGCCTATTCTCTGACTGCACGTACTCGGTGTCTTAGTCCCACCGCCGTCGCCATTTGTTCATCTATCTAAGGCAATTTGTTGAGCTACCTGCTGCCTTCTTTCTACTTAGCAAACGTTTTGTTTATTGGGATTTGGCAAATTCGTGTGGTACATACCCATTTACAATGATCATAGTTTTCTGATAGCCCATACAAAGTTGTGTGTCGCATTTTTTTTTCTTTGGCTGACTATTGTGTTCTTCGTTTTTATAGTAACAGAGATGAGCAGTGGGTTTTGGCCAACTTCTGTGGTGCATAATATTTTATGACAATGATAGTTTTTCCTTACGGTCACGATTTTCGAAACAGCTTCGCTGATAAAAAACTTAGGGTGCCCAAAGCTTGTTTTTTCACAAAATTTCGCACTGCATCTGTAGCAGAAGTTCCCTGGAAACCTCAGTGGGGTCAATCTAGAAAGTTGGAAGTTATTTTAACAAAAGTTCGATATCGTGTCCCTCTATTAAACGCTTATTTACAGAGAGCTGGTCTGGACATATCTCCTCTGGGCCCATTCTGCGAAGTAACAGAAACAATAAAGAATAACTTTATATTATGTAGAAACAACTCTTTAATTACGAAAAGGCTTCTAGTTGTTCTGTTTTCCACAATAGGCTTAAATTTAGCGGCAGATATTGTTCTTAGTTTCGCTGCCTCTCACTTGGGACATTGCCTCATAAACGTATTCGATGCCGTATGCAATTTTACTCAAGAATATAAGCGCATGTAAATAAAATGCCTGCTTAAATATATTTTTGATGAATACTTGTGATAATGTAAATGAAAGTCGCACACACATTCCGTTTCGGCCGGGTGAGATAAACTCAGCTGTCTGGACTACTAAAAATTTCAGTCTTCTAAAATAATATTGGCTCTTCTTTGCTCCTATTGATTCTTTATAATATAGTTTTAGATATTTTTTTTCATTTACCCATTATTTTTACTTATTTCATCGTTTTTGTTCTTTTACCAACATGCACTCAATCAGTGTATCACATATAAGCTACTACTAGATTTCATGACCGAACCCCCAGAGTGGGTTTGTGCCAGTAAGTTCAGGAACCTAACAATCAAACAAACAAAACCACTTAAGCGTAAATCCTTGTAGTCGAAGAGGAAGAAGAAGAGCGCTCTAGGTGCAAAGAATAGTTCGTTACAGGAACTGCAGCGAGACAACGTAAGTTTTATTAGCAGCACTGCGACCAATTGCTTCGCAAGTGTTAGCGCTTTCTCTTTGCGAAGGTTTAGCGGTCAAGCAATCAGCGGTCGTTCATTTGCAAAAGCAAGTCAGGATCCTATTAATGGCAAAGGGAGGAGGGCAAACGACATTCGACGTGCACCTTTATGTACGGGATAAAAAAAATGAATTTTGTGCTAAAGTCAATCACTACGCGATGAAACCTACATTGTTGATCGCTCCTAGGAAAAACGCAGTAAAGTCACATTGCCATAGGTCTTTTTTCGTGATTGTCACCACGCTCTTCAGAAGCCCTAACGCATATAACACCTGTCTTCTGAGAGTTTTTGCCACTACATAAACAAATTTAGTGGGAATAAGCCCTCGTCCTATATACGCACATGATTCTTTTTCACCGCTGATTATTTCGTTTTGTCAACTCAATCTGTTCGTAATAAATGCAAAAAAATATTTCTTTGTCTAGGAAACCGCTGTCATTATAGCCGAAGCCTGTAAAAAACGTTAGTAAAATGCTTTCCTAAGCAGCAGTGAGTTAAGAACAGTGGATACTGCCTCGTTTCACATGAAATACTAAACTTTACAAGATATTTACTACATCTAGCGCACTGCAGGTGCTGTGAAGTTATAATATTGTGGTGTTATTGCATCAGCTTGCAGGAGGTTTGCAGAGTATTCTGATATAACAAAACCAAAGGCACGTAACCCCTAAGGAGAACTCGAGACATAACAGAAAATGGCTTCACTCGCTGCTACCTTTATCCTCAGAAAATCAGCTTTACACCTGTATATATAGCCGTAGTAACCATGTGTAAAGGGCATCGCCTCTCTTAGGGTTGCCGCTGGACCAATTTGAAAAGAGGAAAAACTCTTGCAAAGAAAAGTCTAAGTGGCCCAACCAATTAAATATAGTGCCATATTTGTAGCCAAATAGACAAAAAGCGATGTTATTGTTAATAAATCTTGGTACTCAAGAGTAAATAATCGAATTCTTTTCGAAAAAAATGGCGTATAACGGGAAAAATATTTTTCCTTCTTGCTTAGTGTCCAAGTCATAGGTAACTTGCAAAGGAGTTAATGAATCATTCTGCTTTCAGTGCGCCTCCATACAGTTTTTCAACAACTATAGAGTTTTTTGCAAAAGTAGTTCTGTCCTAACAACACTGCAAGAACAATAAACGTTGAAGCTGTAGGCCGAGATTGGTGAAGGTTACAATGATAGCTGTTTCGCTTCCAGTAGACAGTTGTGATCAAAGATGAAGAGTGCAGTTTTCACTGATACCTCTCTGATACGTTGTGTTTCAACATGACAGTCTGGCGCCAGCACTGTGCTGTATGGCCACATGTTTCCTTAAATGAACACCTACCTTCCTGATCATGTTAGAGCTTTAACGCACGTAACGCCGCAGCTCATAGCATTTGAAGCGACGTTTATGCTGCTCTAGACTCGGGCATTTTCGCTCGTTGAGGAATAAGATTCCTACCCAAAAAAAATAAACCGTGCAATTGTATTCTATTTTGGTATTGCATTTGTATTTATTTATCTCCTTATTTATCTCTTTGTTTATTTATTTATTTGTTTATTGATACTTTCAATTCTGTCAGGCACTTTTACAGCCATGGGTTCAAGAATTCACAATTTTTGTATATTCACGCAATAAGACAGATGTAAAGATAGGATAATACACAGTATTACAATTGTAGAGAAAAGTCATGATACAGAATCATAACGACTATAGATTTCGTTAAAGGTCTCACTCACTCTTTGTTGACCTACTAAGAGCTATCGTGCTTATAGGTAATTTTTAGAAGGCTCAGTGCTTTCCCTGTTTGCTTATAGGTTACGAAACGACAACAAACGTTTTGACACTTTGTCACCGTTAGAGTATCGGCTGACGTCGCTGCAAGTGGGCAAGTTTAAACAGCCTTGGCCTGATGCTGACTGGTCCCGCCGGATTACTACTGACATCAGTGAGTTCAAGTGTTTGCATGTGGCAAGACGGAGGAAAACCACTTCAACTAACAGTGAAGAGTTTTGCTCTATCGGTTGACAACCTCACATGTGGCGAGAGCTAAGTAAACCATATTAAAATTTTAATATTTCAGACAACAAAACATGAATCATGACACAAATGATTGTAAAACCTCGTTATGCAAATAACTCTCAATGCACTTTTCTAAACCTTGTTTGATGTATGCGCTATGCGTTAGGAAAAGTTTCCTCTTACAAAGAAGTAACTTCCACAAGCAAAATTGTATAGTACATGTAATAGCTGCTCTTATGATTGCTGCATTTGATATACAGTTCATCAAATGTCATCGCTACATCTGATAGCATCGTTGCATTTGCCTGTCTTTCAGAGAGTTGACCGCAGCTGTGATGTGCTGGGGGAGTGCGAAGACAACAATGACCCTGGTCTCCATCATGTGCATGGTGAGAGTTCAGGCACATGTGTGACCACCATAGAAATATGTAGGAGATATTTTTGTTATTTTAGAAGTAGCTTGTAGATAACTTGAAAATACGGCTCACTAAAGATCTCGACACTTCACTGGCCTCAAACCAAAAGAGCCACGCATTTCGAGACCATAGCTTCCGCGTGAAGTGAAAGTAACCTTTGTTACAACGACAATCGCTCGAAATTGCTCATGGCATTATTTAACAGTTATTGCTTAGCGCCAGCGTCATAGAGCGGGTTGAGGGAATAGCGTTATTGTGCCGCAAACGTTAGTTTACGAAAGCGCACTTTATTTTAGTGAGACAGCGTCACGTATTCAAGCTTTCACATTAGCGTCAAAAGGCGGAAGGCGAATGCATAAAAGAAAGTGAAAAAAGTCAAAATGACAATGCTTGCCTGTATCTTAGAACACAGCAATATCACTACTTTTATAGTAAATGTAAAAGTAAATAAATATGAACCGAAAGCAAAACTATCTTGCAGATTTCCTAGCATCGACATTCAAGCAAGCCTTAGAGGCGTTCAAAATAGGAAGTGAACAAAAAACTACGCTAAGTTAGCCACAATACACCGTCGTCAAAGTTACCTGACGTCAAGCACAGCCTTTTTACACAGCTGGTCGCTGCGAAAGGAGTAAATCTTTCCACATCAAGGCCAAACTTTGTTTAAAATAGCCGTCAGAAACAGCTGGCATGTTTCGCATACTCTGCGTTAAGCACGAAATGACAACTCTTTATCTACAACGCAGCGTGCGCACAGTAAACGCTGCGGGTAATTTAAACGACTGCGCATGCGCATGTCGATCGCAGAATTCCGGTCAAGCCCGTAAACCATAACTACACATTACGGCATAATTTTGTTTTAGTTGGTGCATATTGCAGACTTGGTATATATGGCGCACGATAGACGTCACATGAGATCAAGAAACGTTGCATTATGCTGCAGTTAAAGGCGCCACTACGCTCGTACTCCTCGAGCCAGTTTGCTATACCTCACCAGGCACTTAATCAAAGTAGATAGTTCATATAAAGATTACACGTGCACATTAAAAGCAGTAGTGACGTCTGTCTATCTTTATTTGAAGAAAGGCGATCTTGTAGATAGCCAACACCAACTAGCTCAATCCTAAACTATAGTCAGTTCACATCCTGTTCGCCAAAACAGCATGAAAAAGCCCTGCACAACTTTTTCAGGTAACTATCGAAGGGCTTCATTTAAAGAGTGTATTGCCTCATGAATCCACTTTTACACCCTAATTAATTCAAACCTGCCACGTACGAACATACAGCAACCTGTGTTCGTACGTGGCGCTTTCTCCTTTTGCGCTGATGAGTTCGCTTGAAGTTAGGCAGCGAGAAATGGCACGAGTAAAAGAAGTTGCGGCACGCCCTCGTCCTGGCCTTCAGCCCCACCCCCCTTTTTTTTTTCAAGCTCGTGGCTTACTATTAGTGTGATTGCGAGCGCTCGCGCGGGCACGTGAAGGCTTCCGCGGTGGCACCAGCAACTATGCAGTGTACAATGTTTCAATCAGCCAATGGCCGTGACGTTGGGTATATGACGTCATTTATAGGCAAAATACAACCGGAATATAACCAACCACTATACATAGCCTTCATAGATTACGAGAAGGCGTTTGATTCAGTAGAAATATCAGCCGTCATGCAGACACTGCGGAATCAGCGTGTCGATGAAGTATGTATAAACATCCTGGAAGAAATCTACAAGGCATCAACTGCTACCCTAGTGTTCATAAAGAAAGCAATAGAATACCAATCAAGAAGGGTGTAAGGCAGGGGGACACAATCTCCCTAATGTTATTTACCGCGTGCTTACAGGAGATTTTCAGAGGCCTAGAATGGGAACAGTTAGGCATCAGAGTTAATGGAGAGTACCTTAGTAACCTGCGCTTCGCCGATGACATTGCATTGCTGAGTAACTCAGGGGACGATTTACAACTTATGATTACGGAGTTAGACAAGGAGAGCAGAAAGGTGGGTCTTAAAATGAATCTGCAGAAAACGAAAGTAACGTACAACCACCTCGGAACAGAGCAGCGCTTCGAGATAGGTAATAGTGCACTTCAAGTTGTACAAGACTATGTCTACTTAGGGCAGGTAAAAACCTGCCCGCGGAGCCGAACCACGAGAGTGAAGTAACTAAAAGAATAAGAATGAGGTGGAGCACATTTGGCAAGCACTCTCAAATTATGACAGGTAGATTGCCACTATCCCTCAAGAGAAAGGTATATAACAGCTGTATCTTGCCGGTACTTAGCTACGGAGCAGAAACCTGGAGACTTACAAAGAGGGTTCAGCTTAAATTGAGGACGACGCAGCGAACAATGGAAAGAAAAATGGTAGGTGTAACCTTAAGAGACAAGAAGAGAGCAGAGTAGATTAGGGGACAAACGGGGGTTAAGGATATCATAGTTGAAATAAAGAAGAGGAAATGGACATGGGCCGGGCATGTTGTGCGTAGACAGGATAACCGCTGGTCATTAAGGGTAACTAACTGTATTCCGAGAGAAGGCAAGCGGGTTAGGGGGAGACAGAAGGTTAGGTGGGCAGATGAGATTAAGAAGTTTGCGGGCATAAATTGACAGCAGCAAGCACAGGACCGGATTGACTGGCGGAACATGGGAGAGGCTTTTGTCCTGCAGTGGACGTAGTCAGGCTGGTGATGATGATGATGATGATGATGATAGGCAGAATAAGGAGCAATTTCTAGCTGACTGAGAATGAACTACAAAGGTCAAGCAGGCCACGTGCTACACTATATTTCTCGGCACGCGTGTACTCAGTAGGCTCAACTATACCAACGGCATCGTTTTCTGACAATGCCGAAAAAGTGTTGCGCACCCCCTATAATGTTGCGTTGTTACCCTAACGTTCCGTTCGCTGTATTCTGCAAGCCGCTGTAACAATGTAGAGTACTGTGTTCCCTGTGTTTCTAAATGCCTCCCTAACGTGTGCTTTTCGCTAACTGGATACATCCTTTTAGTCATAACACCCCCCGTATACTCCTTCCAGAGTCTTCAGATAAATATCGTCTCCGCTGTACAATAGCACCAACGAGGAATATCTACGTTCTGGTCACACTGCATGAGCCATTTTTTCCGTCTGAGCAGTGCACGGAGATATGGCACGGGAGTTCGAAAATAGAATGCAGGCTTAACGTTGGTGTCGTCCCTCTGGTTCAGTGAAAGTCGATTGCTCATTTCCCTGCAGTGGATGAATGGGTACAACCTTGTGTCAAGATTCTTTGGCTTTCGGAATGAGCTGCGCCAGCACAAGATAGCCGCGTACATTCCGGATGTCACCGACCTTTCCAGCTGGGGTAAGCCACATTCAACTACCTGTGGAAGCGTTGTAAGCGGCTGCGCACATTCTGCAAAAAAATGAACGTCGAAAGTGCGAGGACTACAACAAATGATAAAATGGATTTGTGCGTCTCTTAGGGTACTCTGTTACAAACGCACTCATTGATTGCAGCACAATTTAACTGCCGTGGTAGTACAATGTTCTCAATGAGAATGAAAATGTAGGTGAGTTGGTCTGGCCTCATGAATACGATCAGTAGCGCGAAGCACATAAACTTGAAAGTACAGTCAACGACTCAGGAAGCAAAAAAGACTCGAGCGCTGTGCTCACGCTTGCTGACTACTTTCTAAGCCAACTTGCCATCAGCATGGGCCAAACGTGCAAGCTTAGTATTATTATCTGGGTTTTTACATCCCAGAACCACGGTCTCATTGGAGAGACGTTGCCGTGAAGGGCTCCGAAAATACCGACCATGTAGTGTTTTTTAACGTGTACTTACACCACAGAGTACACTGGCTTCTCCCATTTCACCTCGATTTGAAATGAACCGCCGGGACCGGCATCAAACCCTGCAACCTACGGCTAACACGCCCGATGCTCTACTGATTGAGCTGCGGTTTTTTCTCTCAGGCTGAGCTACGGCGTGATGACAAGTTCGGTCCCTGCAGCAAGTAGTCTTTTCTCCAACAATATTTACCTTACATTTATGAGGCAATACACGTAGTTAAAAGACCGCTAACGAGATTCTCTCTCACTTCCTTGACTTCCCTGTTTGTTGATTTTCATTAAATTTTTGTCTAACAGAGGAAAAACTAGCCCTGAAGTTTTCATCTTTCGACCAGCAAGCTTAATGATTCTGAATAAACATTCATTCACCAGGAGTAACTTACGTAATTACCAGATGATTTAGTACATTTTGTCCTTCTTCGCGAGCAAACAAGCAGTTCATTATAACGTTTTATTTGGTTTTCAGAGGATGCATATTCACCTCAACATTCTTCTGTGTGCAGTAAATAGCAGCAGAACCTCCGACGAGATCACCATGGGACTGGCAAGCGTCAGCCTAATCTTCGACGTCCTCCTGTTAGCTGGAGCAGCAAGGGTAACGACCTGTCTTGTGTCTGCGTGAAAGTGGCGCTGACTGAGAGAGTTGTAGATTTCTTTGATCATAAAGCATTTCAAATTATAAACTGTTTCACTGTGCACAGCCCCTGGCGATCGAAATGTGTTTGCCTCATACTTTTTAACATGCGATAAATAAGTGAGTATTGAGCTGTGACTACTCGCATTTCCGAAAAATAAAGAAGTATACTACGTTGCATGCGACTATCGTGGCCAGAATCTGACTCCATGATTTTCGATGCCAGAAAAAACATCTTCAAAGTAACAGACTCCTCATGTAATATAAAGTGAACTTCATTCGCTGCATTCTCTCAGCGCCAAGCACAAAAGCACCGTCTAGCGTGCACAGTCGCGACTGAGTAACTAGTATGTGTGGTGACTGCCGCAGTGGAAACATTGTGACACTGGACGTTTTCTTCCTCAGCATAAAAATAAGGATTTAGCTGGCACGATCTTCCAGTTAAATCGATAGTGGTGGGAAAACGTACCTTATTTGTAGAGCCAAAACTAGGAACGCTATTCGCGGTTGTGTCGCTCCTGCTACCGTTCACTTGTGCTCATCTGTTATTGCAAATCTGCGTTTGCTAATCGAGCTGATGTACTCTCGCTATGACATCCTGAAGATAGCAATGCCATGAAACCTAAGGGTGTCGAAACGCTTCGTGGAATTTGTAATGCAAAACGACTCATTATAGTACCAAACACAATAAGGCCAAATTAAATGCTGTTATTGTAATTTTTGTGCTTCCAAGTCTGATTTCATACATCAGTGCCAAAATATAGCTGATAGCCAAGTACATGGGAATGCAAGTGAAGAAACATCGATGTGAAAATGAGGCATGTGAAATAGGACATTTATCAAGAGAAAATTGCTGCACTGCGATTTGCTGAGTACTGTTTCTCTCATTCCCTAGGCGCTGCCAATCTCTAGGTTGTTTCCAGATTGATTCTGTTTAGCGAGGCTCTATTTAAACAACAGTCAGTTACAGACACGATGCGGATGTCTGAACTTCACAGCCTAGGAACTCGCGCTGACACGAATGTTCACGCCTCTTGTATAGCTCTGCGGGCAGGCATTCAAAGGCATTGGCTTTCCGTCGCTTTGGGATCTTCTCGCAGCCACTGCTTCCTTTCCCGTTCTCTTGAATTATCTCGTTGTACGTACCAGTGAAATTCAGCTCGTCGCCATCGCTTCGCAGCCAATTTCGGGGCTAACTGTTGCATTCTTCAATTCTGCAGAACCAGTGGTGAGCACTTGGATTTCAACAATTTATGCGACATATAAACTTAGCAGGAAATCTATTTCTCGACCTAACTGTGACCACCTTTATTTCCAGCGAACCAACTTGGACAATTTCGGTGGAAAAACAAGTTTGTGATAATAAGAGTTTCTTTTTTTTTTGTTCATTCATACGCTTCATCTTGAGGTTTAACAGCTTTTTGTTAAATCATTGAGGAGCCATCTCATGCTATGAAGGTGGATAACCAGTGAAGCTATGTTTAGTACTCTACATCGAGGTGGCAAAAAATTGCCAATAAAAAAGTTAGGGTTCGAAGTAATTATTTTCTGGGCTGGCACTTAGTGGAAAGAGCGAGGCGTGTTCTTTCCAGCCATCGTGAGGTTCTTTAGCGGGCCCTATAACAATGCGTCATGCAATCTCCAAAACGAATGTATTACGTCAAACTTTCATGGACCTAGGATTTTCCTAATGTTATTATTACTGTTATTCATGTTGCCATTGCATCCTGGCTTGCGAGAAGTTTTTAGTTTATAGGACGTAGAAAAATCATCGCAAAATTTGACACCTATGAATAGAAGCCCTGGCAAAACAAAGCCTTCATAAAACTTAAGTACGATTAGTTTTTACTTAATGTTAAGAGATTAAAAATAACGCGTTGGGACAATTGTGCAAGTTCACTCCGACAAGATGTGTTATCGGATGGACAAACTTGACATAAAAATCGTGCAAAAAGCGGCATGCAGAGGGGTTGACACGTAGAAGTACATCTGAATTGGTGGCGTGCATTTCTGATATGTAAGACGGCTTTTCCTCAGCATTATGATGAAAGTAAAAAAACTGATTGCCTTTTTAAAGAAAATCATCTCTCAAATAAGGACATTCAGGAATCAAAATATGTTACCTTTTAAGGTTTTCTGTTACCTCAACTGAAACATGACTCTGTCTAAGCCTTCTTATAAACTATAATATTTCTTGCAACAGAAATACATGTGCTAATAACGGCACCCTTAGAACACCGCGTAAGTTAAAGCATGATGTGTGTATTCTCATTACGATGTCATGCCGCTTATTCACGTTTACTAATGTATCGACTTCCTTCTTTTGTACGTGTTTGGTGTCCTGACTTTATTGTCCTGAAATTTCTGGTGTTCATACTTCTTTCTTTTATTGTTTGTGCCGTGCCGACTTCCATTTACAACAAAAGCTGCTATGAGATCGCAAGGGTTGTTGCGCTAAAGTTGTCTGCCGCCACCGGTGGTGTCTTTAACCACTATCGCACAAAATAATAAGAAAGCAATTAAAAAAAACACCAAGGACACACTGGCATTCAAACCAGGCTCCCCTGCGTGCCAGCCCCGTTTTTTACAATTGAGCTGCGCCAGTGCTTGAAGCTCAGTTGCACAGTGTCCCTAAGCACTCGTCAGGCCCGTAAACGAATTTCGTTAATTTGTGAAAGGAAGCATTTAAAACAGCAGACGAACAACCACGCGTCACACAATTCCAATCGCGTAACGTGTGGGTCGTCGAATTCTCCAACCCATTACATCGTCAGCCATAACACCAAAATATGCAGGAAATCTCTCGCAAGTGTTTATACGGTACCACGCTAGCTCGAAGTATGACGAATAATGGCATAGTGGACGCCTCCCTAATACACAAAAATGCCATTTATAGCATAATGGGTATCCTGCAAGTGTGTTTGTAGCAGTTACCTAGAGAAAGTACGCAAAAGGCTCTAGTAAGGTAGCTCCTGCAGCTTTCGCTGTCGTAGCGCTGCGCGTTCTACGCAGGCCTGGCGGTTTCTTGTGTCCGTATTTCCACGCCCTGTCTTTTACAGAAATAAACGCCCTGCTGTAAGGTAGTAATCCTGCCGCTTGCATAGATAAAATTTTCAAACAAAAACTACTGCCACTGCCCCACCACACGTCGAAAAGAAATTTATTTCTGACAACTAAACCACCCAAATCTCTAGTATTGGCTATAAGGAACATTCTACTGGAATTAAGAACAGTACGAGTGGTCAGACTCCCTTGTAAAGCGGGACATTGGTTTATGAAACTGGTACACGCAAGCATAAAAGTGCAAGAAGATGACACGCAGAAAACAGCACACACACACGCGCTCTGTCTGTCATCTTCTTCGTCGTGTCTTTTTTTTTTCTTGGTTCTTGGTCCGTCTTTTTGTGCGTACCGGTTTCATAACGTCACTTTACCGAACAGCTCAGATCATGCCTCGGAGCCAGAACATTGATTTCTTTCTCGTCGATTCTTTGCACTAAGTGGCTACACGTTTGGTCATCTTCCTTTCCTTAAACTCACAATGACGACGACGTCGTTGAGATAATTTTTGTGGCTCTGGTCAGAATCTCCGCATCGCCCTTCGCTCACAACTGTCCGCTGCGACCTCCAGCTAACGCGGTGGCAGCTGGGCGATGTGTGCTCGTTTATATACATGTGGTGCTCACACTAACGGTGGCAATGCTGCCCGTACACCAATAACACTGCGCTGCAGGTTGATTCAGCAGACTATTGACAAACTGTACTGGAAGAATCTGTTTTGTACATACGTTCACAAGAAAGATAACTGTGCGATTTGACTCTATATTTACAGGAGAGCAGTGCTACGATCCAACTTGCGGGCCTCTGGGGTTCCATTGACTGCGTCGTTGACGCCGTGATTGGGTTCCTGTCGGCAAACTACACCCTTCCTGCCTTCGTAAGCAAATATGTGTACTCCGATATCCTGAAAGAAATATAACTAAAAAAAAACGAGCGGTCAAGCGAAGATAGCGAAAGGACAAGTGCGTACTAATTACAACCAAACCTTCTAGGAAATAACGAATATACATCTCAGGTAAAAACATAAGAACCAAACAATCCGGATGTGCGCGTTCAGGTACCTTATACCTACGCCTCATATAAGGCGAGAAAACGCTTCGTCGCGCAGTTATTTCGAGTTTTCAAAATTACGAAAGTTCAACGAGCTCACATGCTCTCTTAAGACGAACGTGCGCTTCTGCATGAGAGAGGTAAAACCACACTCACGGCTGCGCAGAGACGAATTCGAGTAACGCTGACCCTTCAAAAGTAAGCAGTGATCTTGCCAGTGCACACTCAGCAAGCGACCTGTCTGCCTCGTATAGCACTTACCAATCGTGAAATGCACCTGATATGCAAGTAACTTTTTTATTAGACTCTGAAGGACTCTCGCCGTGTTTGACCATACTCTCGTGATGTTCCTGCGCAGTAGCGCTCACGTTTCCCACAACAACGGCCCATAACCTATCCAGCTTATTCTTAGACTAAAATTTAACACTTATATGATATTTCGCGCCAACCTTCTACAGACGAAGGGAACACTAGGAAGCGGATTCTTGCGAGCCTTTTCATTGTGTATAGAGTCTTTCGGCTCAAATTTTAAGCTCCGGAAAATTCTTTCCCAGTGGCGGCCCAAGCTGGCGACAGCATAGCGCGACTCTCGGAGCCTGTATAGCTGCTTAGTGAAACTTTCACCCAACTGGTGGGGGATCGTTTTCTTTAGAGCGGAAGGGAAGCAGAAAACACAAGCGCCATTTTTACCAACTTAGAAGAGCTGGTGCGTAAGTGTAAAATCAGCTTCACTGATTGTGGGGAATTTAGCCGACAGGTGTGAGCAGTACCAAACCGAGATTCTTTAGAAGGACGGCGAAGGCCTCAATTTCACGTATGAAATACCGAGGGAAGGTGATAGTCAGATTTTAGTCTAGGACATTCATTTTGGTGGTACAGCTGCTAGTATGCGCTGGTCATGCAGTTGTCTTTATCTTGCAACACGGTCAAACTTCGCCCTATTTTATTTTTCGTTGAGAATTACAAGCTTTACCAACTTTCTCAACAGTCTATTCGTCTAAGCTCCAATATCCCTCCATTTATACAGCTTGGGTACCCTTCTGTTACATTGCAGTGGGTGTTATAGCAACGTGCAGGTTCTTAGTTATTGGGTGTCCGAGCCGTCGCCCCAGACTCCCACGAAAAGACGAGGCCGTTTGTACGCCACACTTTATACACACGAAAAACGAACACACATAACATGGACAGGCTATTTAAAGAATCCTTCACTGTCTCTGTGAACTATCAAAGTCCTAAACTAACCGTCCCTCCTTTTTAGCATGGACACAAGACATGAGGTCGGTCTCACCGAGGTTCGTTGCTACGTCTTGAGCTGGCTTGCGTTGTCCGCACGGTCAACCAGGCGACTAGTTGATGGGTAGGCTCCGCCCCCGCAGCCACGTCGCGGCTGGACACATCTGCTGGAGCTCGTGCCCGTAGCCCGACAGCTCCGCGTTGCTCGCACGGTAGACGAGGCGGCAACTTGAAGGGTATACGCACCACCACCGACCACGTACAGGCCGGACACCTCTACTGGAACTCGTGCCCGTAGCCCGACAGCTCCGCGTGTCCTCAAGCACAGGATGCCTTGAAGCCGCAGCACGTCAGCGACGCACGGCCGTGGCAGGTAGAACGTGGCAGGTAGGCCGGGCTCGACTGTTACTAGGCTCGGGTCCGGAACCCAACGGCCGAGTCGAGAGCCCCGTCTTCCTCGTTCCTTCTCGTACCTTCGCCGCCCCGCTACTCAGCGCTCGTGCTACCTTCGTCGTTGTCTGCTTCAAGCGCGCACTTTGAATGGCGCGCACTTTGAATGGCGCGCACTTTGAAGCTTCGCGCACGACACATATCACAAAAGCCCCCCCTTAAATGAGTTTTTTTCTTTCTTTTTTTTTAAAAAAAAAAAAAAAAAAAACTGCTGACACGTGCGCGGTCTGTAAACCCCTTCACTGTATATGTCCTCTGTATAGTTCACATGTCGAGGTCCAATATTTACTAAATACACAAGAACACCGTTAAATACACTGACATACTTTGAGTGTCCAACACCCAATATCACAGTGCATGAAGTCCGAACTCTTGGCTCACAATCTACTCATGAAGTCCGCACCGGTATTCTCCGACCCTTTTATATGCTGAATGCTAAATGAGTATTCTTGCAATGCCAGGCTCCACCTCAGGACCCTACTGTTCAAGTGTTTGGCTCGGGCTAAGTACTGTAGAGGTTGGTGATCTGTTTGTACAACAAACTGGTTCCCATACAAAAAAATGTGAAACCTCTGTACCGCCCATACCAATGCCAAACACTCCCTCTCTATGGTAGAGTAATTCTTTTCCCGGGGCAGCAACTGGCGGCTTGCATAAGATACAGGGTGTAACAATCCGTCATGTTCCTGCATTAATATCGCTCCGATGCAGGTGTCAGATGCGTCCGACCGAAGTACAAACCTTCGCTCCGGATCAGGAGCCTTTACAATTGGTCCAGAAGCAAGGGCTTGCTTAAGTGTTTCGAATGCCGCCTCTCTTTCAGGATTCCAACAAATCTTATTTCTCTCCTTTTTCCTAGTTAGTTCGGTGAGAGGCTGAGCTTTCTCCGCATAATGGGGAATCATATCGCGGTAATATCCCGCCAATCCAAGAAACGATCGAAGCTGCTTCTTTGTTTGAGGTTTTTGTGCATTGGCAATCTTCTCGACAGTACTATCCACTGCTCGGATGGTCCCTCCTCCTAAACGATGGCCTAAAAATACGACGGAAGTCATAGCGATTTCGCATTTCTGGGGTTTGATAGTCAATCCTGCTTCTCTCACTCTGTGCAGGAATTGCTGCAATGTGTCTAAATGCTCTTTCCATGTCATAGTAGCGATGAGAACATCGTCTATATAATGCGCTACGTTCGGGAGGCCTTGGAGAAGTGTTCTCATCAAACGCGTGAACACTGCAGACGCAGTTTTGATTCCAAATGGCATGTAGATAAAGTGGTAATGTCCGGTCTGAGTTGAAAATGCGGTTACCGATCTCGACTCCAGTTCCAGTGGAACTTGCCAGTATCCTTTGGTAAGATCGAATTTCGAGAAAAACCTCTTGGTCCCAACCTCTGCGAACATCATATCCGTCCGTGGTATGGGTTCCGCATCTGATATCAACACCTCGTTGATGCGACGAAAGTCTATGCATGTCCGATAAGTTTGATCTGGCTTCTTAATTAGCACCAAGGGGGAATTGTATGGCGAATTGGATCGCTCAATCACCCCGAGCTTGAGCATATCTCGAACTTCCTTTTCAACCACTTCTTTCATCGCCAGTGGTAGTGGGTACTGCGGAGTGCAAATCGGATCCGGTGTTGTCAGTCGAAGCGGGCATTCCAGCAAATTGGTCTTTCCTGGCATTTCGGAAAACACATCTTGGTATTTGGTCAGAATCCGCTGGAGCTCAGCAGCTTCCTCTTCAGCCAGCCCTTCACCTATATTAATTGTCTCCACCCCAGTCCCTTGGTCAATAGTGTAAACTGGTATAGGTGAATCTGCCTCCTCTTCTTCCATCACTACGAATGACGCTGTTTGTGTAAACCTCTCCGGTTCGCGATCCTCGTAACGCTTTAACATGTTGATGTGGAACAACTTGGTGTCACGTCCCAAGTCCAACCAGTAGTCATGACTGCCCTTTTTCCCTGTGACCTTAAAAGGTCCTTTCCATTGCATGAGTAATTTATTTTCCGTAGTAGGGAGTAGAATAAGGGCCCGGTCGCCTACTTCAAGCTGACGTTTCGTGCTTCGCTGATCATAGTATTGCTTCTGTGATTTTCTTGCTCGTGTCAAGTTCTCATGAGCCAACTGCAGTGTTTTTTCAAGACGATCTCGCAGATCCAATACATATCCGTAAGTTGTCTTCGCCTCGTCGCCGATGTGTTCTCCAATCCATAATTCTTTTAACAAACTAAGTGGTCCTCTGACGTCACGCCCGTAAATAAGTTCGAAGGGAGAAAATCCCGTGCTGGTCTGAGGCACTTCACGATAGGCAAAAAGGAGTGGGGCAAGCAACCGATCCCAGGATCTTGGTTCCTCCTGGCAGAGCTTCCGCAACATCTGTTTTAACGTACCGTTAAATCGTTCCACCAACCCGTTACACATAGGATGGTAAGGTGTAGAACTGAGGTGCTTAATGGCCAGTAACTCGTTGACTTCTTTCATCAGTTCGGAAGTAAAACAAGATGCTTGATCACATAGAATTTCACGCGGGAATCCTACGCGTGAGAACATCTCCACCAGGCCCTCTGTTACTGTCGCCGAATCGATTGCTGGCAGGGCCACCGCGTCCGGGTAGCGCGTGGCGAAGTCCACCATGGTCAATATGTAGCGGTTTCCGTTTCTCGACACAGGTTTTAAAGGACCGATAATATCGATTGCCACTCGCTCGAAAGGGGTGTCGATCAACGGCATTACGCCCAGAGGCGCCTTGCCCACTTTACCTTTTGGATATGCTCTTTGGCAAATGTCACAGGATCGCACGTATCTCTTTACTTCTTCCTGAACTCCTGGCCAATAGAATGATCCTAGTACTCGGTCAATTGTCCTCTTGATGCCTTGATGGCCCGCCATCAGACTTTCATGAGCTAGCTGCAGTACTTGGCTCCGCAGTTTGCGAGGAACAACTACCTGCTGTACTATCTTGCCGGAGGATAACCGATAATGGCGATATAAAACTCCCTTTTGCATAACAAACGAATATTCTGTCGATCCTCTCCCAAAAAACACCTGCCCAACTTTGTTCCTACAGAGATCTAGGCTCTTGTCCTCCGCCTGCTCAATCTTGAAGATTCGTTGGTTGATATTCAAAGCGGTTGCTTTCACC